TTCATAGCAAAAAAAAAAAAAATCAAACTCTGTATATGCACTAAGTACTGTCCAAGTTGTACTGTGATTAAAGATTACAAAAACATAAGTTTAAGATTGAGCGGGCATCAGTAATTTAATACCTTCCTTAAGGTGCAGGGTCTGCACCTTAAAAACTAAATTGCTGTCTTTTAAAAGATACACAGTATATTTAATGTAGTATTTAGTAGCTGAAATGAGCAAATACAGGAAACAAATTGATGCTGGTCACTCTGGAAGGAATGAAAAAAATTCTGTCCTAAATGAATTAACAACTACTCTGCAAGGTAGGGATATTAGGAAGTTCCATAACATGAACAAATCAGATCATCAGGCAGCACAACCAGTGCAGTACCTGCGAAAGCCAGTCTTTGTATGAATTGGCCTTTACTTCAGTTTAGCTAAACTCAGGCATTAGTATGTTTCAAAATAAATATTTGCCAAACTTCAGTGAAACTAGATCAAAATCTATTTGAACATCTGATGGGGGGAATTCAGTGCCATTACCATTACTCTAATTAGTGTTGGTAAAACAGTGCTACACGTTAAAAGGATTAGAGCTATCTGGAAAACAATGCCTAATACACTTATTAAAAACTAGCAAGTTATTCTCCACATAGCTAAAGTCTAGATTGTGCTTTGCTGCTTTTTATTTTTTTATTAATTCCGTTCCTAATTAACACTCTAAGAATTATACGCAGTCATTCTTATTTTACCATTTTAAAATAATGAATCATTTCCATGTGAAAGAATATTTGTTCTAACACTGTCACCATTTAAAAGACAAATTAAGGATACCTATGACAAGAGTCTAAACTGGACTGGTTTAAAATTATGCACAAACTATTTTCACACAATTAATGACAGCTTGCAAGTTTGTAGAAGAGTAACACAAATCATACCTAGTATAAAATTGTGCGCCTCAGCTAAACTTTAATCATATACAGATGAAATGGCCTGTTTGCTACATTAATATCTGTAGCATTCTAATTTCTACCATGTGCAATGAATCTTAAGAACAGGAATTCTTATCAGTTATAGATGAAATAAATTTCTTTCAAATAAGCTTTGGCAGTTAAGTTGCTTTATTAAAATGTCTAGATTATCTCTTATTCATATTTATGTGAACAGGTGTAAGACTGGCTTAACAGAATTTGTGGCTATCAAGCCTACATACAACCACTAACAATTCAAAAAGACTCATTACTACTTCCGAAGCTACATTAACATAAAAGTAATACTTCTCCCAGTAAAAAACAAAAAAACCTTAGGAAGGGATAGGGAAGAAAAAAAGGTTAAAAACCCAGACTTGTCTTCTTATTTTCCCTCTGTAACTATTACTTGAGAACAGAAATAGGGCACAGGATAATACCAGCCAAAGGAAAAAAGTATCCAGGGGCCAGAAAGGAAAGAGGATGTGGTGGTGTCATTATTGTCAGAAGCAATAGCACATGATCTACAGATGTTCAGTATTAATAAAATACCTTTTCCATACCTGATCAACTGATGGCACAATAAATGATCAATTTGATTACCAATGTGACTTCAAGGGAGTGAGGAAGATGTACTTTATGCCAGGGTGGGCAAGTGGGGCACCAGCCCTGGGTGCTGGATCTTGGAGAGAGGGTGCTAGAATGGTGGCCCTTCCTCCCCAGAAGTCTTTGCTGCAGCAGCTCCACACTGTTTGAAGGTTCAAGGCTTACTATATCACCACATGTACTGTCACCCCATGGCACAAGAGTACCCCTGCACCCCTGGCTGCAGACTGGAATGACCCACCCTGAGTCAGGTGGGTAGAAAGGTGGATGCTAGCCTGGCTGCCACCTCCACGTGACCTGTAGTGGCACAGGGAGAGCATCTGCAACTGAAGCTACCTGCCACTGAATGCTGCCAAAGCCTCTAGACTGCAAGGCAAATTTGGCCTGTGAATCACAGGTTGTTGGCCCCTGCTAAACCAGATCCCACAGACATGGGGTCTTAGTCAAATATTCAGTTGAATGATCAAACCCAGGATAATGATTAAAACTTGTTGCAGGGTATTACAACAGACACTGTCAGCAGGTGCCTTGTTAGAGATATCTCTATACAGCACTTTTTATGGACTATTTTAAATGACAGAAATCACAGCTGAAATTTCAGCAAATCTTGAACATATTTACAAGACTTGATTTCAAAGAATGAAATCATAATTCAAGGTGCACAAAATAAAGTGTTTATCAGTCACAAATGTATTAGTGTTACTGACAGCAAACATTGAGTTCTATGATTTTCAGAAACTTATCCTGATTTGAAACATTTTGATAAAAACTCAAAAAGGCAGTAGTGTGCAAGCAAGAGAACAGTTTTCACCCATCTTGCACAATGTACTGTATTTTTTTGGCATACATCATCTCCAGCCCCCCATACACACCTTGTTTTTGAACAGCAGAATGTAGGGTGTTGGATTAGATGACCTTCTGGCCCCATTTTTCTATCCTTCTATGAAAAAAAGATTTTTCTGGTTATGGCTGACTAAGACAGTCAGTCCTTCTGGAAACAGCATCTAGGACAGTGCTTCCCAAACTTCTCCTCAGCATGACCCCATATTTATGGCCCCATTTCCTGAGTATGATCCCATTTCCTTAGCATGGCCCCTCACTCCCTACCCATGGCCCTCTATCCCCACAATCCCATCCGCTGGTGTTGTGACCCCATTTGAGGTTGCAACTCAGTTTGGGAACTGCTGGTCTAGGAAGGGTGGCAGAACATCTCCCGAGATGTCATACTTCCTGGACACATTACATTAAGGGTGCTCAACTCCTGGCTCACAGGTCAGATCTGGCATATGGCATCATGTCACTTGGCCTGCAGGGGTTCCACATGCGTAGAAATTTGGCAGTGAGAAGCAGTGCCATCTCTCTCCTGCTGCCAAATATACAGACCCATGAAGAGCTCCGAGCCCTCCGTGTTGGATCCAGTCCTGATCCCAGTGTGCAGTGCAATCCTGGCAAGTGTGTCAGAAGGGAGTGGTGCTGGGTCCCTGGGACCTAATTCTGGTGTGCAAAAGGTGGGAGAAGGCAGCAACAGGTCCCTAAAACCTAATCCCAGAACCTGGGGCAAGGAAGGGGAACACTGGGGCCCAGGGCCCAATCTGGCCCGCAGACAGGTCCATGCAACTCATTTGGCCTGCAGGGCGAAAAGGTTGAGTACTACTGCTCTACATCACACAAGGTTACGCCCCCCAACCCTTGCAAAGGGCAGCAGCAATAGTGTTACTTCTTAAATGTAACTACTTCTTTATCTAAGTTCCTGTAAATAGTGCTGTTTCCACATCACAAGCTTACTTGCAGCTGTGAGCACAAGCTTGTGCTCAGCTAATAGTTACAGTTGTGAGGGTTAACAAGACTCTGCCCCTTTCCATTTGCTGAGCAAACACAAGTAGCAGTCATCTTGGAAACTGCATGGCACATGTGGCATCTCCAGGAATGCTCCTTTTCCAGTGAAGAAAACAGCTTCACCACTTAAAATGTGCATCCCTACTTTGTGTAGTTGACTGGGGAGTAAAAAGCGCACGTAGCATGTGAGAACATTTGATATTAAGCAGGGATATCACAAATATGAAAAACTGAATTTACTGTATTAACCATACACACTGTTACCAGACAAGAATTAACTCACCATTAAAATATGATTGCATATGGAAACTCAGCATTTCAGAGAAATGCCACAACAAATGAGTTCAACTAGGAAGTAATTTAGATAAGAAAAGTTTTTTAAAGTTTAAAAAAAATAGTAGCCTAGAGCAGAGGTTCCCAGACTCTGACAGATTGCACACCACTAATTTCAAATGATACAACCTTAAGTACCACCAGCAATTTTTTGGCAAATGAAGTACAGGTTTCCCTCGCTTTATGCTGTACACGCATTCCTGGAAAATGATGCACAACTCGAATTCACATAAAGAGAACCCACTTTACAATATAACAAATAGGGATACATTCCAACACCTTGACCGTACTGACCTCCAGATCCATTTCTACCACTTTTACAAGACAATTTTGGTACTCACCAACAGCAGACACAAGGCACAGGGCACTGTCATAATGGGGATGGCAACTACAGAAATACGTCACAGACGAGCGAGGAGCACAAATTCACAAAGGAGACTATATTTTGGTGCATGTCACTCCCACAATGCACTGCACAAAGTAGCTGACTGCAGGCTTCCACCACACCAACCGCATAAGAGTGAATTTACCTTGCATATAATGAATTTTTGGTATAAGAAGGGTACTCGCATAAAAGCAAATACGCACATACAGAACCCAAATAAAGCAGGGGAAACCTGTAATTATAATAAATCTGTTAACGCATACCACTAACAAGTTGTCTACATGCCACTGGTGGTACCTGTACCACAGACTGGGAACTGCTAGCCTAGAGGTAAGGCTCCTAAGTTCATCTAAATAAGTGGACACTTTTAAAATTCTTTGAAGTATGAAACTGGGTTGTTAAAAAAAAATAAAATTATTTGTCCAAGATTAATGCACAAGCTAATGTGTCACTCTTATGTGTGTGCATATATTTGAGACAGACATTTAAAAGGAAAAAAGGCCCACTGTGAAAGAAATGGTTGGATTTTCAAAAAAAAACTCAGAAAATTCCCAAACTGTTCACCTATTTAAACACCAAGTATATAGGGCCCAAAAGTTAGCTCATGATTTTGAAATCACGAACAGAAAAATAAACTCTGTAAAAAAAATGGATTTAATGATATAAGAATACAAATAATAGGTTGACTGACTCCACCCCTTTTGTCAAAGCACATCTTTCAGGAACAATCCCGTATTTCCCCCTCTTCCAGAGAGGAGAGGGATGAACTTTCACTGTCCGAGTCTTCACTGGAGTCACTGGCATCTGAGGGTACAAAAATAGACAGGCAATTAGTTACAGCAGATTTGTTCATTTCTTACTTGTTTACTCATGTACTCATGGCACAAGAGTGCTTAAGAAAGATAAAAGTCTTGAAAGACTAAGTTTTGTTGTCCTCTACTAGATATAAAATAATAGTTCTCCTAATAAGTGAGATTATGCTGACAAACTGCTGGCCCTGACATGGATCTCACTGTTGCGAGATGAAACAAAATAGCTTATGAATTTCCTTAGCCTTTGCTGCTCTTTGTCAAGCAGTTATGCAGAATGTGTCCCCCTTATAACTATTCTCCATCCACTGAGAAGTTCCAGTTGTTCCTTCCTCTAATTTGTTTTGGAATATTATTTTCTTGGCTACTACAAATTTGTATTCCAAATGCAACGCATTTTTGCAGTGTCTTTAGCCAAGGAACTGTTGAGAAATTTCGTCGGATAGTTTTAAGTTGTAAAATTAAAAGGTGACATTTATGAGAGTTGCATTTAAAAACCCAAACTGGGTTTAGGCTGAATAATCCCAAGAGCCAAACACGATGAGGCTATGGGCTGAGAATACCCAGTGCTGTAGGAGAAACCCACAATGTTCTAGCGACATCACATTATTCAGCATTCATTTCCCACACTGGTATTCCCCCTTTCCCAGTTCTTCTGCCTCAGCAAACACTGACCGCTCCCACTCTCAGATGAGGTCACCAGATGCCAGCAGTCTGTGGCACCAGCACATAAGCAATATAAAAATAAACTACTGCAAAATAAGGCCGTGATGCAAATCCCCCTCTGATTGGTATTTTCAGTGTTTGACCTGTGATGAATTCAAATAGGTTTTCTGTGCATTTGATGTTAGCTGATCTTTAATAAAAGAAATACTACAATACACCTGTACAGTTTCAATGGAATTTGGTCAAGAAAATAAAAGCATTTCACCCAGAAACATCAGAGGTCACATTTTGTCCACATTAAATCTAGTGTATAATCAATTAACATTTATATGCTAAACATGTACTGAGTAATGCTCAAAGTGAGTGTTGTTTTTGCCCCTAGGTCTTATTAAAACTTCTATAATCCCTTACTAACTTCAGCCATGACTGACCCTGTATGCTGAAAGCAGAACACCTGAATTTCTTCTTTAAGCAAGTCAAGCATCACAACTTCACAGAAAATAGTTTGATAATCTGACTCTCAAAGATACTGAACAGACAATGTTTAGGTAGTAAATTATTTTTGCTTTGTTATGGGAAGTCCTTTTTAATACAAGTACTATATGCTGATTTTACTCCATTACAAATAGCATACGGTAGATGGCCTGCTAGCAGAGCTATATTAAAGTTGCACAACACTTCCCAAACACTTGTAAAAACTCAATCAGATGTACATAATTTTGCTAATATTTAAGTGTTTGGGTCTGAAATTTTCAATGCTGGGTGTTTGCCTTAGGCTGAATAAATTTGGAAAATTTCAGCCAAAATACCTGAATCATTTCTCAGAACAAGAATATGAAAAAAACCTATGAATCAGAATTTCCAAAAATTCTGGAAAACTTTCCCTTGAAAAGCTCTGGCACCTTTCTGTTTTTGAAGCAGGGAAGGGTGACCTTTGTCAAACCTGTGCCTTTTGCTGACTCATACAAATAAGTCTAAATTTAGCTCCATTAAAAACTTTGGGGAAAAAAATCCCAATTTGCTTATTTTCAGTGGAAACTTATATTTTGCAAACTAAATCCCTAGAACATTCCACCTGTAGTGCACATGTTCCAGCCCTGGGCTACGTAGGACCTTCCCTGCAATAACTAAAGTGCCAGTTCTGGGCTCCTGAAACAAAAGCAAGGATATTGATGCCTGTATCTCAATAATCCACTTGCTGGGCCCAGGCATTTTTGAGAAGTAAGATGAGACAGATTTGAATACAGGGAACAAGGGCTGCATCAAGGTACAGGAGAGTAGATTGGGATGAGGACCCCAGTGGGAGGAGAAGGATGTGACTGGAAGTCTGAAGAAATGAGACTGGGACTTGTTGGGCATGGAGACTGGGACTAGAAGGAGCCTGAAAAGCGGTAACTGAGTTTGTGAAGATGGGAAAGAAACAAGATGAGGCCTTGTCTGTACTGGGGGCATTTACTGGAAGAAGACAAGCAGACAGCCACCGGAGCATGTGTACAATGAAGGCAGCCTCTACTGGATCTGCATGGCTCCATGGCAGGAGTAGGACCAGCAGATGCAGTATCTGGTAAAAAAAAAAAAATTGTTAATTTCAAAGTTACAATTGCCTTCAGCTACAAAAAAAGTAGAGGAAATGAAGTCATTTACTTTATCTATTCTTTGGAAAAATGCAAAATCTTATATTTATTATGAGGCACAATTGTGTACTGAGCTTTCCTTTCCTTTTTTGCGTCTGTAACAAGGTATTTACCAGAATTCACAGGTTCATTGGAATTTGACAAGGGCCATGCCACAAGTGCTTCTGCTATGGCCTTGAATTTGCGACTTCTGAGCTGTCAACTAGGACTGTGTGAAGCTTCAGTCGCCGATTCAATGGAGATTCGGCCCAATTGGCAGCCAAATCTCTGAATCCGAATCAATCAGGAGACCCATTAATCTCTCCCAGTTGAACATTGGAAGCTTCCGAATTGATTTGGAGAGACTTGATGATTCAGACAGACCCAACTTCATATGTTTTTTCTATATACCGCAAGGTACCAGGCAGCTTGTGAATGCTGAGATGGTGGGGCAGATGAAGTGCCACACGGGAACGCAGGGGGGCCGGTCCCCAGCACGAGCAGTGGCAGACCCAGAAGTGGACCAGAAGCACTTCCAGTCCACTTCTGGGTCCTCTGTGGAGCAGCACCTGGTGCCTCCTGGGTTTGAGGAGGAACTCAGGGTCCCCCCATGGCCGATCGCCGAGCCAGGGGTGGGTGGGTGGGGGG